ATACCATGAATGGATGGCTTGAGAGGAGTAATCAAGTGAAATACGTGCATGGCTTTAATTTGTTACCGTTTAAATAAAAAAAATACAGTAAATCTGACGGTGGAGATCAATTTGTTACAGTTTAAACATTTTTTTTTTCAACGGCCCAAATTAAAATCGACGTAAGGGTCAGTTTGATCCTTGAAATTGCATAAAAGGGGTCAAATAAGTCCTTATATCGTCCTTACTGTCTGGTCGTCGCCATTTGGGGCGGTTCACGGTGGAATTTTTTGATAAAAGTTTTTGAGCATCTTATTCATTAAGTCTAGTTTACTCATACAAAATTTCAGATAAAAATTTCATCGGGAAGGCATTCAAATGAAGTCTCGAAGATAACTGCGCACTTAAAAGCGCAGTTATCTTCAAGACTTCATTTGAAAGCCTTTCCGATTTAAGTTTTAGCTAAAACTTGGTATGAGTAAACTAGACTTAATGAATAAGATTCTCAAAAAAAATTCATTAAAAAAATTCACCGGGAACTGCCCCAAATGGTGACGGCCGGACAATAAGGACGTCGTAAGGACTTATTTGACCCCTTTTATGCAACTTCCAGAACTAAACTGACCCTTACCTCAATTAAAATCAAACATTTAAATTATTTTTTTATTTATATTTAATTAATTGTCTTGGTCTGAAATTTAAGTTTTCCAAAGTTTTATTTTCTTACATTAAGAAGTGACATCTTAATATCAAAAGTAATTGCTCCATATAGGACTAAAAAAGAAGACAAATTCTCAAATAGTACTAGGTATGTTTTTTCCCCAAATAGGATTGATTTACTCGTATTTTAAAATATCCATATATTTCATTCCATTATTACCCCCTTATCTCCCGTGCGCATGTCTTCTCTTTCTTCATTGCACATCATCGATCGGCTTCACCCAGGCCATTGCCGCCGCCGTCGACTTCACTCTGCGCACCTGATCGATCGAGTCCCTCTCACGCCGCCGATTTCACCGCTGCCATTAAGGTTCTCCTTCTTGTCCTTCCTCTTCCTCTTCCTCTTCCTCTTCCTCTTCCTCTTCCTCTTCCTCTTCCTCTTCCTCTTCCTCTTCCTCTTCCTCTTCCTCTTCCTCTTCCTCTTCCTCTTCCTCTTCCTCTTCCTCTTCCTCTTCCTCTTCCTCTTCCTCTTCCTCTTCCTCTTCTTCTTCTTCTTCTTCTTCTTCTTCTTCTTCTTCTTCTTCTTCTTCTTCTTCTTCTTCTTCTTCTTCTTCTTCTTCTTCTTCTTCTTCTTCTTCTTCTTCTTCTTCTTCTTCTTCTTCTTCTTCTTCGATTTTCCTCTGTTTTTCTAGATTTTGAATTGAATTTTCCAATTTTTGGACTTCTATTTTGCCAAATTTCGATGTTCTGGTTTTTCAAACTTTGATTTCGATGTTTTGGTTTTTAATGTTAGAGTTTTAAAAAAATTTCGTTTTTCATAATTTTTTGGATGATTGCTTCAGATTTGGCAAAGTTTATGGCAAAAATGTGTACATTTACAATCATATTATGGAAGAAATGCTTTTGTATAAACTGAGTTTTCTGTTTTTTGTCAATAGCTTCGTTTTTCTAATTTATGATTGTGTTAATATGCTTGTTCCATTAAAAATTTTAGTTGTTTGAATATTTGGTTATTTACTTCATGTTTTTTTTGCCAAATTTATGGCAGTTTTGTGTTACTATGCCAAGTTGAATCTGCCAATGCAATTTTTTTGGCAGATCTGAAACATTTGTTCATGCCAGAAGTGAATCTAATCTCCAATGCTAAATCTGCCAAGTTAATGACAAATTATTCCGCTTGAGTTGTCACTGTCGTGACGGTGCTCAGAGGATGATGGCTTGGGTGTATGGTGACGTTGGTGTGGGAGGCCGCAAGGGGCGACGATGGATGGTGACGGTGCATCGACAAGGATGTTGTGGCAAACGTTAGACGGCGAGGGCGGCGACAGGGGGCGCCAGGTTTTGCCGGATAGGGGTGGTGGCTGGTTGCGTCGGAGAGGGGTGGCGGCAGGCGGTTTGGCTCTTTGTGGTGGTAGTACTACTGCTAGGGTTTCAATAATTTTTTATTTTACAGTTTTATAATTTAAAAAAAAAATAAAAGAGGGGTATTTGTGTCCAACTGTATTGAAATTGGTCCTATGAAAGTTGTGTTTCGTATGTGGTCCTAATTGTGCATTTAACTTTGCTATCAGTCCTATTTGAGTCATCTATTATAATATTCTATTATAATATAATACTCTCTTCGTCCCTAAATAAAAGCATCTGTTTCCTTTTCGGGCCGTCCCTAAATAAAAGTTCCCTTTCCTTTTTTTGCAAACAAAACAGTGCAAAACAGTGCCAAACAGTACCAACCAAACTCACTTTCTTAAAATGTGTGGAAAATGAATGGATACTTTTATATAGAGACGGAGGGAGTGGTAAATTGATTTTGCTACAATGTTCCCGCTTATTCCATTGTAAGTCCAATCTGCAATGCCTACGGAGAAACACACTGGATAATTGTTTATTTCAATACATTGGATTACTCTGACATTTATTGGATTTTTGTTACGACCTGAATTATGTTTTGTCGTTTTGAATTCCCACTACACTATTGCTTTATTCATCCGTCCACGTACTTGGCCTTTCCTGTCTCGATGTACGCCTTATTTTTTTAAGATGGCCTAGGGATTATGCGCAATTTATTTTTTGGAAGCCCAATCAGGGGCGGACCGTATTACAGACCCATGGGGTTACCGCTCCTCCAACAAGAATTTTTTTAGTGTATATATATATTAAAAATAATTTTCTCCCTCCTAAAAAATATTTTGAACCCCCCAAAAAATATTTTCAACCCCATGATGACTTTTCTGGGTCCGCCCCTGAGCCCAATGGTGGGAACTCAATAGTAGATGCTTTAACGTGATGCTATGTCATTTATTCACTTCACAGAATGCAATTGCATGCTCTTTCTTTTAGTTTATTTGGGATTACATCAAAGACAAAACAATGCCTGGGATGTGCAGTCTTACCGAAGACATTTTTGCTTGAATGTTAAAATTTTATTCAAAAAAGTAGCGCTAAAGTCTACAAACACATGTTCATTGGTTTCTCAGTATATATCATCCACAATTCCACATAGCAGATGGCATAATATGAGCCCGTTTGGAGACCTCTTTTTTCGGCTTATCAGGCTTATCAGCTAGTTTTTTCACCAAACACGTAACTTTTACTTTCGTGTGCTGAATTGTGTAATAAGCAGAAAAAGTAAGGTTGGAGTTACTTTTCTGGCTGTATTGGCTGAAGTTACTGCAGAGGACCATTTTAGCTATTTTTACATGTAATTTTTTCTTTAATTTATTAATAAAATATATTTTTAAATTTTTTTTTCTTGAATCAGCAGAATCAGCCAAAACAGTCACTTCAGCCAGAACTTCATAAATTTCAGCAGAATCAGCCAAAACAGCCGATTTTCATGCTACCAAACGGGCTCTATACGTTAAAGTTTTGAAATCGGAAGCAACAAAAAAGATCACACTTTTAACCCATGTAAAGCAGGCTAAGAATATAAGCTATATATGACACACATACGTTTGCAACCAATATATTCTGCATCATGAAAAGGCTCACAAAATTCGGTGTTTGATTAGCAAAAGAGGATGAGATGAAAATTTCAAATGAAGTACGGAGTATATTGCAATAAACAATTAATTAACGAACATTTAGAATCTTTAACTTTATATTCATGTAATAATTTGTAACGCTTTTAATATTTCCCCCTGAAATAACATGAAAGCCACAAAGCACCTATTATAGATTTCATAGGTACATATAAAGAGTACTTACTTTTTCCCCGAACAAACAATTGTGTTTTTTTACTAATGATGAAGATGATAATAATTATGATATTAGTGCGTTAATAATCAATATACATTATGATGCATATTTTTTGACTAATATATGAAAATGAACGGTTAAGAAAAGTCAAATTTAATATTTAAAGCTGAATAGCAATAAAGAGTAAGAGAATGAAAAATAGGTCTAACTTTTATGGAAAGCGTATTTCATTCCAAATCATTTTATATATTCGTGCTTCATCTAAAAGATGTTCATAAAAATTTAAACCATTTAATATTAAAATCATATGCAAAGTAATATTTTTTAAAGCAAACAATTCGATAAAAAAATGAAGTGACTATAGCCCGTGTGAAAGTTTTAGCTTCTTTTTTGCCAAAACAGATTTTGAGATTTGCGGTATTTGTGTACAACCTTAAAATGAAATATGGGAAAAACATTTAGTCTACAAAGATAACATTCAAAATTAAAATCAGCTAAGGAATCACCGACATGGGGGCACTTTTTTGAGGCAGCTACGTGACAAGAGTGCGAATGGGTTATAATTGAAAAGGTGGAATTTTAGAAATTCTAAGAATGCCACAGAGTATATCAATTTTCGAATGGGTTATAATTGAGTGGATTAAATAGTTGGGAAAATAGTAATTGGGCTCGGTTGGTTTAGTGCGTGTGACAATATTTTTGAGTATCAAAGTGAACTATTATATGTTTAAATTGTTGGTATTAACAATAGTCTTTCTGTCCCTCAAAATTTTGCCAAGTTTGATAGACTCGGGAATAATAAAGTAAAAATTGTGTGATTTAGCTTATGTAGATGAGAGAGAAATGATAAAAATCACATATTAATTGATTAAAAGAGGAAGAAGTGATACTTTGAATTAGTTCTTTGCTGGTTTTACTCTCTATAGAGGGTATAAATTGTGATACTTCTTAGGTATTTTAAAGTTTGCCACACTTTTCTTTTTTGGATGTATTTAAAAGTTTACTTTTTGGGAAGGTTGATCAGATTACGTGTTCCACCGAAGCATGTGAAGTTTCAGTTGTAGATTTAATCGACAATTTTGCTATAGGTATCTCAAATTTACCTCATTTCCTACCCCATATAAAAACCTTCTCCCCTCCCCCACTTTTCTTCTCCCCCTCCCCCACTTTTCTTCTCTTTCCCTTCCTTTCTCCTCCCTCTTTTCTTTTTACGCAGCCCCCTCCCCCATCTTCTCCCCTTTCTTTCTCTTTTCTCCAAATCTTGATTTCTTCTCCATTTCAACATCTCTCTCCATCAAGTCTTCTCATTTTGACAATCTTTTCTCCCTCCAAGCTTCTTCGCCTGCTTCTCGCCTCTTCTGCCTTTTTTTTGTTTCAAATGCAAGAGCTACAGTAGATCGGATAAAGGGGAGAGCTGGGTGACGTTGGATAGCTTGACATGGCGAGACAACGACGAAAGTGCAGACCAAGAAGCTTTGAATGACTTGTGCAGATCTACTTTTCTTGATTTTTTCTTGATTTTTTGGTGTGTTTTTGAAAAAAGGATTGTCTGTCTAATAGACAACTTGTAAGTGTAGTGTCTGTATTTGTTAGTCAGACTCGTGAAGTTGTCTGTCATTTGATTGTTAGTTATTTGTATTTGTTTTGAGTTGTCTGTATTTGTTTCGAGTTGTCTGTCATGTTGTTGTGAGAAGTCTGTAAGAGTCATGAAGTTGTCTGTCTGTCTGTAATTGATGGTTAATTATCTGTATTTATTTTGAATTGTCTGTATTTGTTTTGAGTTGTCTGTATTTGATTGTGAGTTGTCTGTATTTTGTGATGTTTATTTTTTGAGATGTAATTAGTATAACGAGGCAGACATTAAATATACACATCCAGACAATAAGTATACACATACAGACATTAGTTTATTGTGAATTACCATTTTGGAATATGTTTCATAAAGAAGACAGACAATACGCATAACTAGACAGACAATAGAGATAACCAGACAGACATTATTTTCACCACAAATTACATACAACTCACAATGAAATGACAAACAACTAAGTATGAGTTACAGACAACTTCACAACTCTAAACAAATACAGACAACTAACAAACAAATGACAAACAATTAAATATCAATTACAGACATTTATTTTTCAAATGACAGACAATTTCATGACTCTTACAGACACTGCACTAACAAGTTGTCTGTCTGACAGACAACCCTTTATATTTCGAAAATACATCAAAACTGAAGAAAACAAAATCAAGAAAAGAAGATCTGGTGCTCAAGTTATTCAAAGCTTCTTAGTTTGTCTTCGTCGTTATCTTCCCCTGAGGTTGCATTTGAAATGGCAACCACCGTAGGCCCGCCGGCGGCAACGTCACCGGTTGAAGAGAAGATAAGAAGATCCAAGGTTGGAAGAGGGAAAGATGGTAAAAATGGGAAGGAAGTCTTAAAGAAAGGAAAAGATTTTGAGACAGAGAAGAAAGGGGAAGGGAGGGGATGCGTGAAAAGAGGAGAGAGAGAGAGAGGAAGAAAGGTGGGGTGTAGGAGAGAGGAAGGAGGGAAAAGAAAAGTGGGGGTGAGTTTTTATATGGGGTACAAATAGGGTAGGGTTTGGAGTACTTATAGCAAAATCGTTTAATCGATCATATATGTCAGAAAAAATGAGCCAATGAAGAGTATAGAAAATTGGCCTGGTTTGGGTTCTATGAGCCGGCGGTGACAGATGACGTAGAGATAGAAAGAAAAACTAATGGCAGATCAACCATCTGGAATGCATGTTCAAACCCTAAGAGGCATCGGATACATAGGGTCTGTTTAGCTTTGAGCCGATGCATCGCATATATAAGGCCTTGGGCAGATTGGGAGTGTTTAGCCTTGGCCCGTTAGTTATACATTTTTTGTAGTATTTTAGTATATGACTTATACTCCCACTATCTCATAGAATTCTTTCAAATTTTACTTGGATCAGCATTTAAGTAAGTGAAAATATGATGGAAATGTATTGTTAAGATTCAATAAGAAGAAGATAAATGAATGTTAGTCATACAAAACTTTCCAAAAATGGAAATGAAAACAATTTTTTGGAACATCCTAAAATAATGATAAGTGAAAAGAATTTTATGGGATGAAGTGTGTGCTTTTTTAACGGAGTGCTATCGCATACATTGATTTGTTTTAATGTGCATACATTGATAACACTCTCAGCGGGTGGTTAGGCAGGCAGACTTTGAAATTATGACTTTGTGGGTATTTTTAGACATTTTATTCTAGAAATGAGAAGATACATGTAACACCGTCCCCAAATGTATTCATCTTTAAGCTAATAATTTATTGGACCCTATGAAAATATTTAGTGAATTTACGAAGTTGTGAATTTGTATTAATTTTTTCGCGTGAATAGTAAAATGCACGTGGGGCCCACATCGGGAGTGGGGACCGCCCGATATTATCGGGGTCACATATTATATTGATCTTGGACTAGACAATATGTATATGGTGGTGGATATCCTAGTTGAGCCATGACAATGGCATAGGGTTGACCGGTTGGTCAAACGGGGCCAAATTATCAGTATCGGTAATCTATCAGATAACAGCCCGAAAAGGGATTTCGGAGACTTCTAAATTAAAGTTGAGGGATGCATATTGATTCTAAGGTCCATTAAGAATTGGGAACAAGTGTTATATTTTATTTGACCCGATAAAATAAAATATACTTAAAACAGTCCGAAAAATACAACTTTCGGGGCAAATTGCACACTTTGGGACAAATTGGGATGACCTCCCACATGGGTGGGGGCCACCCCACGAAATTGTCAACCCTTGAGGGCCGGATGAGTGCCAAATTGGCTGAACAACAATTGAGAGGATGGGGGAGACACCTTTGACATGTAGTAGGCCCCCTCCCTTCACTCATTGTCTAAAGGAGACAAGAAGGAACCACCCCTACCTCCTTACACTCATCATTTCGACCCAAATACACCAAGAAGGAGAGAAGAGCTCTGCAAACTCCATCTCCATAGCCCAAATCCGAACTCAAGCTAAAGGGAGTCCAAGAAGAAAGTTTAAGAAGGAAAAAGCTAGGAAAAAGTGTGAAAATTAAGGTAATGACCTTATCATAACTTTTCCTTTGTTTTTCTTCTAGCATATAAGGTATATATCATATAAAAGACCTTTAGTATTGTTCTACATGATTTAAGTGTGGAATGATGGGTTGGAAAGTGATTCTAAGTCCAAAAACGGACTTAGAAGCCAAATCGACCGGTTTGCCGGAAAATAACCTTCTATAGGTTATTTGTGTTGACATGGGTTTTGTGATGATAAAACCTTGTTAGGAACTTGATTTAAAGTATTTTGAGATTCGCCGGAGTTTCGTCGGAGTTGGTCAAAGTTTGCCGGAGTTGGTCAAAGTCCAATCGAGAAACGTAGAACGCGCTTAAGCTTAATTAAGGTGAGGATGACCGACTATGATACTTATAATCTTTGGGTTAATTTCATGGGATTTCCTAAGTGAATATAAATGTGATGTGCATGAATTGTTGATGGTTAAAAATGCATAAATAGAAATACTAGTGATTAAAAGTATAGTATGCATGATACACAAATTTATGAATAAATTGTGTATGTTTAGATGTTATGAATATGTGTGTATGATGGTTGTACCAACCATGAATATCATTTGGGATAGTATACTTTGATGCCATGAGGAGAACCCATGAAGGTATGAAAGTGATACTTGATATTAAGGCCAATTATGCAAGAAGAAGGAATTATATTGAAATAAATAAATAACTAGCATTGAAATATTAGTTGGAAATGTTAGTTGAGAAATGGATGAATTAGATCCTAAGAATTTGAATTATAAGGAATCGGTGATTATGAGCCGGGCTCAAGACCGATGTAGATGACGGTGATTATGAGCTGGGCTCTAGACCGTAGTAGATGACGGTGATTATGAGCTGGGCTCTAGACCGTAGTAGATGACGGTGATTATGAGCTGGGCTCTAGACCGTAGTAGATGACGGTGATTATGAGCTGGGCTCTAGACCGTAGTAGATGATGGTGATTATGAGCTGGGCTCTAGACCGTAGTAGATAACGGTGATTATGAGCTGGGCTCTAGACCGTGATAAAAAAATGATGAATTGATATTAAATGAACGGATTAACTATAATGTAATAATGCCCTAGTTGAGGGCCTCAGAGATTTAAACTTTGATTATACTTAGTATAGTTGTCATTGTACTTGTCAAATGCTTCCAAGTACTGACCTCCCCTTCACGGGGGAGGCCACCTCACAGTTTCAGGTAGAACTTGAAGGTTGCTACCACCAGCCGCTGCTTCGGGAAGTTTCTGAGGAGGAGACTTGGTTCGTGCTTCTTCCGTTCTTGTTTTGAAAAACAATATGAATAATGCTCATGAATAATATTTTCTGAATAATTACTTTGGGGGCTTGCATGCCCAATTATGCCAAGTGTGGCTTGAACACTTGTATCAATTGTTTCCGCTGCTTTAATAAATGTTTTACATTATGTTTGTTTATGGATGTACTATGTGTGAATGGTATTCAAGACGCCTTGTATAGTATGGATGAGTCGGACTGCGGTTGATTATTCGTACTGTACGGCGGGTTGTTGACGTGTCCGGGTAGGTCCGGGGCGTGACAATACAAACTACTCAGTACTCACAAATTTTATATGTACCTAAAGATTATTTTAAAAATTGGTCAAGTAGTTGAATGGAATGATCACTTAATAGTTTTTTCGGGTATATAGTTTTCTTAAATGGGGTAACTCATATTTTGACTTTTCAGGTTTATTTCAAATCAGAAATACTAAAAATACAGTTTGATTGAAATAATTGAAATTACTATATAATATAAATTTATCTTTTTATTTTATACTATGTATAACTTTTTATATGTTCAAATGAAGTTTGAAAACACTTTTAATTGTGATTATATTACAATTCCAAATTACTAAAAAAAGTCAGAGTCAGTCTCACTAGCGCCTTAAGATGTTAGACTTCCTTTCAGATTTTATAGAAGACAATTTTCTGTAATGATCGTTTATGCAATGAAAATTAATAAAAGTCAAGATCAATCTCTCTCTCATATATAATTATTACGGAGTATTAAAGAAGCAAGTTTTCGAGAGTTATCAATTGAAAATGGCTAAAATTTTGTTAGTGGATGGCGACGATTAAAGTACAACGAAGATAACCAATATTATCTCTAAGGAAGTAGTTTATATGCAGTTTTTCTGCCCGTGCATCGCACGGGTAAGCTGCACGGCCAAAAGCTTTTAGAAAGTCTGTTTAGAAATCTCTCATGGTCAGCTTTATGTTGCGGTTAATACGGGTAATTTGTTGTTGAATAAACCAGTTTTCTCTCATTGTAAGTTTTATGTTCCAGTTTCCAGAGTCACCCAATAGAAAAGGGCTAAAAAGTTTTTGAGTAGATGGTGACGGAAAAAGCACAACATTGACTACTGTCGACAAATGAGTTTTTCAAAATTTGTAGATCTAATGTTTGTTATTCAACTTTAGTTCTTTTAATTGATACAACAATATGCTTTTTGAGAACATTTATTTAATTATATGTATTTAAGTTTTTTGTCGTGCATCGCACGGGTGAGCTACTACTTAACTCTAATATCAAATGACAGAAAAGTGACTCATAAATTAAATTTCCAAAAAAGTGATTTCTAGAGAAGTCACGTGTGATATTTATTGGTTAATAACTACTTGTATAGCGGTTCGTATATAGTACACCCGGGTGTACAGGCAGTGGCGAACCCAGAAAATCGGAGTCACGGGGTCCCTACCTTAATGTAAGTCTAACCAATAAAAAATTAAAAAAATGTAAGTATATAATATTAAAGTAGCATAACATTTCATAGTTAATGTACATCATCAAAATATTAAGAACTTTTATCAATTCAGGACCTTATAGATAGATAAATTATAAATTCGGTATCCGGAAGATGAAATGTATTAATATAGGACCCGAAAGATGAAAATTATCAATCTAGGATCTAAGATTTCATAGATTTTGATTTATTTATTTTTTTATTAATTCCTTTGCTAATTTTTGATAAACTTTTTTCCACAAAAGTTTATTAGTTTAATAAAACTAAATAATATTTAAAAATTTTAACATAAAAATAATAAAAATTCATGACAATATAGGTCCGAGATTGATAGTCTTCAATCATTCAAGTCCTAAATTGACAATTTTCATCATTTGAGTCTTATATCTATAAATATATTCTTTGAGGTCTCGGATTGATAATTTATTTACCTTTCAAGTTTTGAATTGATAAAATTCCAAATATTAAAGTAGTACAACGTTTCATAGTCCCTACTATGACGCAACTCGTCTTGAACATTAGGATGCAAATCAACAATTTTTTTCTCAAACCAGGATAAGCTTCTAAATATTCAAAATAAACATGTTGATCATGTGTATTGTCGGTCAAATTAATTTCATATTCACCAATTATTTTATTCAATTCTTCACTTAATAATGGAAAATCATAATGGAAATTTTAATAATTAATTATATTATGTAAAGTGTAAAGTTGGGGATTTTTAAAAAAGACAAAAAGATGTAGTTGTGATCTTTTACAATAAAGAATAAAAAAAGGAATAGGAGTGAGAGGGAATCGATCCTTGCACCTCCACGAAAAGTAAAGGTTTTTAAAGCCTTTCCTCCGTTGCTCTGCTCCATTCTTTGGGATGTATACTTGTTTTTGTGTTATATATACATTTATAAGTACATTTTAAATAAAATATA